AATACAATCTGATCCTACGGTTACAGCCCTTAATTCTCTCCACTTATTGCTTAGGCTGCAGGCGTTTGTGTAGAATGCCGATAAACTCTCATCACCAGCCCCCCTCTAGCCTTAGTGTCACTGGAGTCTAGTGCCCTCTTCGTTTTTTGTCGCTGGCATACTCTTGGTCCTCAGTCGCTGAAACACCGTAGAGGGAATGACGTCAACACTGGCCCTTCGAGCCACCGTAGCCCACATTTCCTTACCAGTCTCCAGCTGAGTAGGCACAACATCGTCCGGCCTGTCCTTACGATTATCTGTGACCATTGTCATCCCTCCTACTAGCGTGGGCTCTGGGCCCTCATCGTTACGTCTGTGTCCAGTGGTGTAGTTGAGCCGGACCTGGGAGTGAATGTGGTACGTTGAGCAGCGCTTGCCGGTGACCAATGCTGCAATCTACTGAGCTATATTAGCGGTGAGTTACCCCGGGAATCGCAGTATGTCGTGTTAGTTGGAGATGCCTGTCGGCGAAAGACTGCATACATAGATGCGTTATCCGGTTTGACGCTACCTTCCCATTCTTCAAACTTTTTAATCTACCCGCCAGGAATGCATCCCGGAATCTCTGGTTGCCAAATTCTACGAGAACTGGCCTTGGGAAACGCGTTATGCTTACTTGTGCCTGAATATCCTTTTGATTAGTGCGTGGGCCGGGATTTCCACCTGTCTAAGTAGGGAGGAGACACGGTGTCTCAGATCCCTTTCTCTCAGTTTGACACTGCTGCAGAGCGGCTCTTCCATTCCTTTGATGACAACATTTCGCTGCCTGCTTATTGCAATGCCCGTTTTGTGGCCCAGATTTTTAATCTGGGAAGCTATGCTGGTCACCTCCTTTCTGAACTGGGACAAACTGACTGTCCTAGCATTATTGTCTGATTGGATTCGCCGGAGTTCTGACTTCATGTTTGCTTCAAGCGCTTCGAGACTTGTCCTAATTGCCTCTAATTCGAGGAGTTTTGTCGGTTGACATTTCCTTATCTCTCAGACTGTCTCCTCATCAGTTATGTTGTCGTCATGGGTTTGCTGTTGCGCTGAAGTGCGGCTATGTATAATTAGTTGTGAACAGTCATAAAAAACCCGTTTAAGCTCCGTGTTATCTAGGTACAGTCGGTAAGCATGGGAGGTGAGCTTACCGCTAGCACGATGAAACCACCGGTCGCAGGTGTCGCATGAGATACCATTTTTTACGGCTTTGGAACACTTCCTACACCTCCCACTTGGATTCGAGTGTGATCCTATAGAGTTATGTCTAGCCATTCTCACCACTTTGTGGGAGTGCGGTGGAAAAAGGTTGGATGAGGTAGAGTGAGAAGTGACCTAATAATAACCTCCAGCGAATGGAATAGAAAAGCCCGATGGGTAGCTGGCCAGCAGGACGGAAACAGAACATGTGGAAACGGCTTACCTTTAATAGATCGTCACAAACTGCTAAATAACTCCTTGGGCGCACCGTTAATCCACCTCAATCCTGTGGGTAGCATGAATGTACGTGTATCATTGATACTCCTTTAGGGAAGACTCCCGATTTATCCTGAATTTGAAATAGTTGCCTGCTACGGTTGACTTGAGTAGAGCGATCCTCTCAGTGAAGTTCGCTGCTGATCAGGATGATCCATCAAAAGCAAATTGATCTTCCTCGCTCCGAAATTCGGACCGCGCGGTCAAGGTCAAGGTAAAGGCAGGTCACAGGACTTGTGGCTCGAGCCAATATGTGTCCAGGTTCTTGCACCCCGAACTCCGTGTTCTCGTGGTGCTTCGACTGCCAAGCGTTCCTTTGACCCAGCTTATCTGCAGTAGCTGGATGCGGATACGATTCTTCCCGGTAACCGATATTCAATGCTGGAATTTAGAAATCTTCATCTTCATCTTCGTGTTGAGAAAGCAGAGGGGCCGCGCCCCGTATGAGCCTCTTCACCGCCGGTACCGATAGCAACCCGTTCAGTGGTCTGCAAGCTGCCATCGTTTCACCGAGTGCTCGTCGAGACGGCTTTCGAAAACGCGCCTCGTTTTACTCCTCCACAACCTCCGACGGGAGTGAATTCCAAAGGGAAGTCGCCCTCCGGGAAAGGCAATAGACCAGAGGAAGCCCCGTTGACTCAAGCTTCCGGAGGTTGAGCCTGTGGCCGCGCGTCCGGTTGCAATCTCGCGGTGGAAACATAGCACGTAACTAGGGTCCCAGATCGCCACGTAGAATCTTCCACAAGTAGATAAAATCCCCGTGGAGTCTCCTGTAGCTAACGGGGTAGAGTTCGAGTGCCGGGAGCCGACCTTCAAAGCTGATCCCNGCGACTAGGCGGATGGCGTAGCGCTGTACCAGTTCCAAGTTGGCCATTTCGGAAAGCGTGCAGGGGTACAGCGGGTCCACCGTATTCAAGCCGGGGGTGAAAATCGGAGGCAAAGAGCTTCTTGAAGGCTGTGAATGACAAGCTGTCAAACGACTGATGGATGGCACCTTGCATACTCCTTGCCGTAGAACATGCTCGAGTGGTGTTCATCTGTGTCTTCATGGATGCGGAGATAATAACGCCTAGATCCTTCTCGGTAGTCATCGAACGCAGTGGGGCGTTGTTCATCAGATAAGA